GGACAGGGAGGGGAAGGTCCAGTTGTGTCCCTGCTCTGAGCCTCAGCACTGAGGAGGGAGGTGCTAGGCTGAGGCTGGGGCCACTGGGTCCTCAGTCCATGCCTGGCTGCCCACTGTCCCCAGGGGAAGGATGCTGGACTTTCCTACACAGTCAGGCCTGGCAGCCCACCAAGGGCACTGAAGGACATACTGCAACCACTCCACGCCTTTCCACTCCACAAACCTGACCATCTGTCATGCTGGGCCCCGCCGAGCACAGCCTGTGGGCTTCTTTCACCCCCTCGGAGTAGGATCCATGCGGCTGAATGCCTCTGCCACAACTCAGAGTAATGACGACAATGATGACAGAGATAACAGTGGCACTGACAGCATTTACCATGGGCTACGTGGCATGTAGTCACTGATCTAATCTTCAAAGGGACCCGAGTACAGAAGAGGTACTATTACCGTTCCCATTTAAGAGATGGCGCACAGATGTTAAGTCATCCACACAAGGACCCATCGCTGGCACAGGTAGAAGCTGCTTTTGGCTCCAGAATTTGTGCTCTTAACCATCAAAAACATGGACTTTCTAACATGACACCCATTGCACACATTTGTGGTGCCAGATTGCCCTGATGCTTAGCCGGTGATATCCACCTCTTAGTCTTGGGGAGAGAATGAAGTGGGGTCATGATCAGGCTCCGGTGTCGGACAGATCCCGGGTCAAACTCCAGCTCTGTCCTTCAGGCCGCAGGACCCTGAGCAAGTGACATCCTCTCTCTGAGTCCCCTCATCTGCAGAAAGGGTTAACAACAGACCCCACTTTGCAGGGAGTCCATAGACAGTGCTCAGCACAGGGCAGTCAGCACGCAATGCCAGCTGTCATGGTTACGTCACTTACTCTTCCATAGCATATGGCCATAAACACATGCTTCCTTATGGTCTGGCTGTTCCCAATGGGATCCTCTCAGCTTCAGAACCCCACCAGTGACCCCAGGGAAAGGATCAGAGGATAAGCAGGCTGTCCCCAGCCCCCTGTACCTTGGTGAGGTGTGCGTGGTACATGTCAGTGAGGAGACTGCATCCCTGTCCCACGCCGAGCACTGAAAGGAACCCAGGCTGATCTCACATCCAGCACTACCTTCCCGTTTCCCTCAGACCCAACCCCCACACCTGCCATCAGAATATCCCCACCTCCGATGCCGCTGAAGCCAGCAGGGGGCAAGGACAGCTTCTTGTACAGGAAGCAAGTGAGCTCCTCTGGGTATATATGACAGTGTGGATTCCTGGGTCCCACCCATCAGCACTGACTCTGACTTGTGGGGGGGAGGGGCCTAGGATGCTTAGCAAGCTCTCCAGGGGTTTCTTTCTTTCTTTCTTTCTTTTTGAAGGATTTTAAATTGTTTTTTAGAGAGAGAGGAAGGGAGAGGGGGAAAGAGAGAGAAACATGACTGTGAAAGGAAAACATTGATAGGCTGCTTCCCGCATGCCCCCTACTGGGATCAAGCCTGCAACCTGGGCACGTGCCCTGACCAGGAACTGAACAAGCAACCTTTTGGTGTACCCGATGACAACCAACCAACCAACCGAGCCACACCGGCCAGGGCTTTCCAGGGGTTTCTGATGCTCTCAAAAGCAAGAGACCACTGGCCCAGTCAGAGACCACTGGCCCAGTCAGAGACCGGACTGAAATCAGGAGAGGCTCTAAGCATGTCCTTCACCTCCTCGGCTTCAGGCTCTTCATCAGCCAAGTGGGGATGGAAACACTGCCGGGCCCCGGTCGTGAAGACTGAGGCTGCGCACAGGAAGCAGTCAGCACAAAGCAAGGGCCCCATAAATGAGGGCATTGTGGCCACTCCCTGCCTTTCCCCGGCTGTTTCTCCCTCTGGCTGAAGGAGAGAATGATCCTCCATTCACGCCTCGACAGGGAGGGGGGCATGAGATCATGTCTGCCTGCCAGTGCCCCAGGAAGCAAGACAAGGGGAGTGACTGTCGCATACGGATGTAAACACCGCCTGACCCTGAGGACACAGATGGCTCATGACTCAGGGCTTTGTGTGGCCAGACCCTCGCTAGTGAGGCCAGAGTCACGTGCTCGGCTACCCCACGAAAGTGGATGATGGCTTCCCCTCTCTGGACCAAGGGCATTCACTAGCCATGCGACCTAGGACAAGTCACGTAACCTTACTGCTTCATTCACAAAATCATATAATACCTACCTAGTGAGGCTGCTGTGGTGCATACATGTGCACAAATGGCTTTGTACCACATCACATGCAGAGATCACTTGATATAGATAGGTGATTCTGACTTCCCATTTCCCTCCAGCTGGTCAGATTTGGGGCGAGAATCAGGGGAGCATAGTGGTGGGAAATGGGTGTCAGGTTAGAAGTGGGCTGGGCTCCTGGTATCTCCCAATCCTCCCCCAAGCCCAAATGACTGCACCCCCTCACCTACCAACCACCCCAGATGCCTGGACATCCAGCCGGTGTCCCATGCCAATCTTCAGGCTGGTGAATGCTGGTCCACGTACTAGAAAGAAACAAATGCGGTACTTTTCCTCAACAAATCAGGTTGGCTCTGGGCTGTGTGATGACCTCATAATTAGCATGTAGCCTTACAGCTATAGGTTGGACCTCATGGGATTGTGGTGAAGTTTCAATGAGAAGTTATTTGGGAAAGGCTTACACAGTATCTAGTACAAAGCAGACCCTTAATATACCACACTTGTGATTGTTACAGAGTCGCTGCTGAAGAGGCTTAGAGGTTCCCCTTGGTCTTCCTAAAGCCTCCCATCGTCTTCTACCTCCTTAAGACTGCTACCCGGAAAAAAAAAAAAAAATCAACCGAAGGACTTATATACATGCATGCAAGTACAACCAATGGACACAAAACTATGGGGAGGGAGGGGATGTTTGGGAGGGGGGGACATTGGTATAGGTACAAAAATAATTTAATTTAAAAAATATATTTAAAAAAAAGACTGCTACCCGAGGGTCTCAATTCCTACCTGGAGGCCGAGAACAGTAAAGCTCAGCAAACTACAGTCCACAGGACAAATCCGCAAGCCTGTTTTTATAATGGCCTATGAGTTAAATTTCCCCCCATTTTTCACAGATTAAAAAAAAAATCAAAAAGGAACCCTCGTGCACTGCTGGTGGGAATGCAGACTGGTGCAACCACTGTGGAGAACAGTGTGGAGTTTCCTCAAAAAACTGAAAATAGAACTCCCATTTGACCCAGTAATCCCACTTCTAGGAATATATCCCAAGAAACTAGAAACACCAATCAGAAAGGACATATGCACCCCTATGTTCATAGCAGCACAATCTACAATAGCTAGGATTTGGAAACAGCCTAGGTGCCCGTCAGCAGATGATTGGATCCAAAAACTGTGGTACATCTACACAATGGAATACTATGCTGCCATAAAAAAGAAGGAATTCTCATCATTTGCAGCAACCTGGATGGAATTGGAGAACATCATGCTGAGTGAAATAAGCCAATCAATGAAAGAGAAACACCACATGACCTCACTCATTTGTGGATAATAAAGAGCATTATAAACTGATGAACCAAAAGATAGATATAGAGACAGTATATCAACAAGTAGACTGTCAAATTACAGCGGGGAGGGGAGGAAGATCTGGGGGAGATAATAGATCAACCGAAGGACTTTTATACATGCTTATAAGTACAACCAATGGACACAAAACTCTGGGGAGGGAGGGGATGTGTGGGAGGGAGGGAGGGAGGGGGGCAAAAAAAAATCAATAAAATATTTTAAAAAAATCAAGTGAATAATAGTTTGTGACTTATGAAATTCAAAGGTCAGTATCCATAAATAAAGTTTTATTGAGATACAAACAGGCTCGTTGCTTTACATACTGCCTACAGCTGCTTTTGCGCTACAATGGCAGATCTGAACCTGCAAAGCCTGAAGTATTTACTAAAATTTGCATATTTCTTGCCAAACACTTCAACTCCACTGTGGCCCTCCAAAAGTCTGAGACAGGAGTCTGAGCACTGACTGGGACACTGACTCTGGGCAGCGGTTTCCTGCAAAGTAACCCCCACCCTGCCCCGAATGTGCCTTACCCAGCGGATGGTTGGTGAGGCTGGGCACACTGGTGGCCGTGAGGGTCAGCTCCTTCTCTTCGCTGCCTTCCACGGGGCCCAGCAGAAAGCGAACACGCTGTTGAGGGGCAGGAGGCTTCCTAGCATTGAGACCTGTGCATACACAGGCAAAGGACATCTTGTCAATTCTGTCCAAACACCTGGGGGAGGCGGGGCAGGGAAGTGCGGAGATGCGGGAGACAGACGAGAACCCAAGGTGCGCACCAGCGAACAGAACAGTAGTTAGGCAACAGACGAGTTCAAATCTCAACCCTATTACTTACTTACTGCTCATGACAACGGACAATACCGAGTCTGTTCACCCATTTGAACCCAAGGGAAGGTGAGGCGGCACACATGATTAGAAAAACGCTCTGCCCAGGCGACTAGATCACATGACTATTTTGCTAGAGGATCAGAAGCGGGAAAGGATTCCCGGGAGAGCGGGAGTCTGGCTAGATAAAGGCACTCACCCTTCAGCAGCTGCAGCTCCACCGTGTCCCGCAGGTGCTTCCAGTGCAGCCCCGGGGGCTTGTAGGCCGCAAAGAGCCCGTGTAGCCGGGCCACGCCGGCCGCCCCCATGTCTGCAGCCCGCGGCGGCGCAGGATCCAGGCAAAGCCGGACGACCGGAAGTGCCATACGGTCCCGCTCCAAATAGAGTCCTTACAATGGGTGCCGTCAGGCTTCTCAGCCGGAAGTGGTCCTCCCCCTAACATCCTCCGGGGGGAACGGTGTGCGGAAAAGGAAGTGTGTTCCGTCGCCGAAGCCCCGTGCTGGCCGGTCTGACGCGGAGACCCTTCCGGGGTGAAGTGAAACAAGGAGTTTTCATCCGTAGAGTAGGAAGCAGACAGATCGCCTGGGTTCACTGCTCATATTTGGCGAGAGAGCCCTTTCCTCGGCCCTACTCCCCGCCTCCCAAAGGCCCTCCTCAGAGTAACAGGGACCGAGTTCTGACCTTCCGGCTCGGTCGCCAGGGACGTTTGGAGCTGCGGCCCGGCTGTCCTCCCGCGACCTCGGCGCAGCCGTGCTGTCATGGTGACGCTGCTGCGCGGGACCCTGCGTCCCCTCCGTCTGTTCCGAGCTCTCCCTGGCCCTGCTGCAGGCAAGTGGCGGAGACCGAGGAAGTTTTGGGGTCGTCCCCACGCCCCACCCCCGCGCCGCCCCACGCGCTTTTGACCCGGGCCTTTTTCTTGCCCCGCAGATGCGCCCCTCCGAACGGCCAGCCATGGCGCCGGCTTGCTCTACCCAGAACACATCCCCACGTCCCTGCTGCAGAAGGTGCTGCTGACCGCCGGCTCTGCGGGCATGGCCCTCTACAACCCGTACCGCCACGGTAAGGCGGCCATGCCCCGCGCTCCCCGGGAGGCCCCGACCTCTGTCACAATTTCCGTTTCCTACGGGTCACTGGGGAATAGACTAGGTCCGGGTACCCAAGGCTGGTGGCTGTACCTCATCATCACCCGGTACACTCATAAAAATGCAGATGCCCGGGTTCCGTATCTGTCAGGTGTGGAGAGGGCAGGAGGAAGGGGCCTGGAATCTGAGCCTCTCCCCTTGGAAACGACTTCCCAGGATAGTCTGTCATCCAGCCACAGTGACAACGTCTGGACTAAATAGGTGATTTATAAGCACCATTGAATGATAACATCGCACCGGAAATTAAACTTTGTAAGTTAGGGACCATGACTGCCCCATTCACTGTATCGACAGCATTTTGGATAATGCCTGGCCCGTAATAAAGACTCGATAAACGTTTGCTGGGTGCATCACTACAACATTCTAAGAGTCTACCATGCCTTTCTCATCCCTCCCGGGCTTCTTGCGTCTGGAGAGTACTATTACTCCTGCTAATAAAAATGTTAATGCTGCCCTAACCGGTTTGGCTCAGCGGATAGAGCCTCGGCCTGCGGACGGAACAGTCCCAGGTTCAAATCCGGCCGATTCCGGTCAATGGCATGTGGTTGCGGGCACATCCCCAGTGGGGAGTGGGCTGGAGGCAGCTGATCGATGTTTCTCTCATTGATGTTTCTAACTCTCTATCCCTCTCTCTTCCTCTCTGTAAAAAAAATAATTAAAAAAAATTATAATGCTGACTGCTCACTGAGCACATTCTGGCTGCTCCCTGTGCTAAGTGCTTTATTATGCATGATGGTTTGATTTCTACATTAACCCTATTAGAAAGGTGTTATCTGCCCTTCACAATCTAGGACACTGGGGCTTGGAAACGTGAAGCAGTTTATGCAAGATCACCTAGATAGCGACTGCACCTGGACAAACTCAATACACTGATCGCAAAGCTTGTACTTGTCAATGAAGACCATAGAGTGTGTGGTGATAATGGATGTGACAGTGATCCGGGAAGCACTGTGCTAACCAGAGCCACCTCATCCCAGTAGACTGGTAACAGCAATACTAACGAGTATAGGTATATTGAGCCCTAAGTGTGGGGATGATTTGCTAAGTGTTTAACATGAATCCTCCTGAGTGGTAGATCTTTATCAGTTAGGAAAGTAAGACTCAGACCAGGTCAAGTAACTTACCTAATCATATCCCGTATTTGTCCCAATTTCCTTTCAGACATGGTTGCAGTGCTAGGGGAGACCACAGGATGTTATGCCCTGAAGATCCTCAGGGACCAGATGAAGAGGGACCCAGAGGGCGCCCAGATCCTGCAGTAGGTGCCAGCTCTGCCTGGGGTGTTGGTTGGGAATATTCTGTGGGGGCTCTCGAGTCACATTGTGTCAGTCCTGTTCCTCTAGGGAGCTCCCCCTATCCTGGCTGTGGATGGCTGCACAGGCTGGGCACTGCTAAACTCCAGGGATGCCATTCATACAGACACTACGATGACCCCTGGGTAGTCCCATCCGGTGGCCTGGGCCCAGTTCCAGCCACAGGGCTCCATATCCTCTCTAAGCTCCCATGACACGTGCTAGCTGTGCCCTCACCCCTTCTTGCAGTGCCCTTGGTGAGTGCCCTGACCACCTCTGAGGTCTGCCTGCCCACTCTGTGCCCCTGTAGGCAGGAAGCACAGTCCCTGCCACCAGAAGAAGCTCCCTCAGGACTTGTGGCCCCCTTGCTGCTCTGCCCCTTCACCTCTCTCAGCCTTGTTCCAGCTGGGCCTTTTACCTGCCTTAGCTGGTGCCCTCCCAATACCCAGGTCCTGCCTTCTGCCTTGCAGGGAGCGTCCCCGGATCTCTCTGTCCACCCTTGACCTGGACAAGCTCCAGAGCCTGCCTGAGGGCTCCCTCGGCCGCGAGTATCTCCGTTTCCTGGATGTGAATGTGAGTGCCCAGTGTCCGTGCCTTTGGCCCCGCCGGGAAACTCAGATGAGTGGCATGGGAGTGACGTCCCAAGGAAGGAGGGGGCCTGAGTTGCCACCATGGGCAGGAGTACTTTTCAGTCTCTGGTGCCAAGGCTTTGCCATGCTCTCTGGGACAGGTAAATGGGCCAGTAACCGCTCCAGTGGAGAATTCTGGCTGCATTTATTAACCTCTTCCTGCTCTCCAGATGCCAGGCTCACATGATCTTGCTGAATCCTCCCAATAATGCCGTCACGTACGTTTTATTATCCCCTTTGAACAGATGAGGCTCAGAGGAGTTAAGCAACTTGCTGGCTTCATACAGCCAGTGTTCATGGAAGCAGTGCGGGGTATGCACACCCAGGTCATGCTGCTAACTGCTGCCCTGTGTCCCCAGTTCCAGAGCATATGCTTCCCTAGGGGATGGCAGGTCGTGGCACTCTCCAGCCCCCGGTGGCGGGTTGTGGATGGGGGAGGGTCCCAATTACTGAGGCACTCATTCATGTGTTTAGCATCTGGCATGTGTCATCACGTTGTTCCAGGTCCCGGAGACATAATAGTGAACTAGCCAGGCACAATCTCTGCCCTCATGGAGCTAGTATTCTGGCTGGGGAGGTAAATAAAACAGTAAAAGAAAGAAATGGTCCTATAAAACTCATGTAAAGTATTTATTGAGTACTTAGAACTTACCAGACACTGTTCGTAGTAATTGGATACAGTGAGAAGAACAGCCAACAGCCTGCCTGTGGGCTTCCATTCTAGCAGGCGGTGCTATGAGGACAGCAATCAGGAGACAGAACGAGCGTGGGAGTGGGGCTGGCCACTTTTGATGCGGCGGTCATGGGAGACTAAGAAGGAGGAGCCAGCCCTGAGGAAACCTAGGAGGACCATTCCGAGGGATTGGCAAGTGTGAGACTCTGTGAGTGTAAGGAGAGGGAGACCTACCCATGTGGCCACAGAGAGAGGTCAGCCGGGCCGGGCCTGCCAGCCATGGGGAGGAGTCTGTATTTTGTAATAGGATCAATAGGAAGCCACTGAGGTTTTCAAGCAGGAGAGGAACATCTGACTTATAAAACCACTTTAGCCGAGACCGGTTTGGCTCAGTGGATAGAGCGTCGGCCTGCGGACTGAAGGGTCCCAGGTTCGATTCCGGTCAAGGGCATGTACCTTGGTTGCAGACACATCCCCAGTGGGGGTGCGGGGGGCCCGCAGGAGGCAGCTAATCGATGTTTCTCTCTCATCGATGTTTCTGACTATTTCTCTCCCTTCCTCTCTGTAAAAAAATCAATAAAATATATTTTTTTTTTTTTAAAAAACACTTTAGGAGACAGCCCCTGCCCCTGCCCCCACCCGCCAACATGTACACCCCCCCACACCCCCACTCCCACCCCCGCCAAAAGGACCTATCCCACCCAGCGCAGGAGCCAGCCAGGCTGAGGAGGTGAAGGAGGGACTGAAGGTTTCTTTGGAATTGGGTTTCTCCACCTTGGCACTATTATTTTGGGGGCCGGATCATCCTTTGTTGTGGGGCTGTCCTGTGCCTTGTAGACTGTTTAGCAGCCTCCCTCTCCACCGGCTGACAGTAGCACCGCCCTACGTCCTAGCTACCACACGTGTCTCCAGACTTTGCAGACGTCCCCTGGTGGACAGTCGAGAACCACTGCTCTAGGTTATTATCCTTGGAAAAATAACCTGCCCCCTCAGCCCCAGCTGTGGTAACAGCCCTAGCAATTGTGACACTTCCAGAGGATGGGAACCAGCAGCTCGTGAAAGGTGAGTAACACCTTTGAACCAGCAGAGATTTAGTTCAAAGTTCAAACAAATCACCCTCCCTGAGTGGACATTGGTAAGGAATGTGGCCAGTTGTCCTTGTGGCATCAAAATTGTAAGGCGTGAGCTTTGGAGTTAAGAGTAGGCGAGTTAGAATCCAGCCTCTTGAGTCATTTGGCCTTTCTGAGGCTCAGATGCCTTATCCGAGGCAAAGGGACCTAATGTTTATCTTCCAGGGCACCTACAAGGCTTATCAATAATGGGTGTCAAAGCTGTTGGCTTTGGGATCCAGCAAACTTTGTTTCAAATCCTGGTTCAGCCATTTGATGAGTTGTGTGATCTTTGGGCAAGTTACTTTATCTCTCTGAGTCTCATCCCCCCCCTCCCCAATATATTTTTTTATTGATTTCGGAGAGGAAGGGAGAGAGAGATAGAAACATCAATGATAAGAGAGAGTCACTGATTGGCTGCCTCCAGCACACCCTTCCCTCCTGGGGATCAAGCCAGCAACCCTGGAATCGAACTGTGATCTCCTGGTTCATAGGTCCACGCTCAACCTCTGAGCCACACCAGCAGGCTCACTTTTCTTATCTGTATCTGAGGCTCATAACAGTATCCACCCCTTAGATAGGTGGTTCTCAACCTTCCTAATGCCGCGACCCTTTAATACAGCTCCTCATGTTGTGGTGACCCTTCAACCATGAAATTATTTTTGTTGTGTACTTCATAACTGTAATTTTGCTACTGTTAGGAATGGTAGTGTAAATATCTGTGTTTTCCGATGGTCTTAGGCGACCCTGCTAGCAGTTCTCAACCTGTGGTCATTCTCAGCATGTAGTGAATATTTTTTAATTCTTGAGAGTTGACACTATTCTCATACTAAGTCTTTGAAATCCAGTGTTTAATTTTCACGTATAACATGTCTCAGCTGGAATTTGTTTCATTTCAAGGCTCAATGACCACATGTGGCAAGTGGTGCTGTATGGGACAGCCAGGGCTAGGAAAGAGACGTTAACGAGCACATGCATTAAAAACAAAAAGCACATGCGTTAAAACAGGATACAGTCACAGTCATGTCAAGTGCCATAGGGAGGTACGGCATGCTACTGTGGGCCTGATCAGTCTGAAGGCCAGGAACACTCTGCCCTTGGAGGGGACACTTAAGCAGGGTCATAAAGGATGAGAAGGAATTATCGAAGTGAAGCCGAGGGTGGTGGGAGAGAACAGGCTAGGAGCCTTAGCTCATGCTAAGGATCTATTTCCCCCCTCGATTTCTAATTGTGGTAAAACACATACACACACACACACACACACACACACAATTTCTCATCTTTCCTGGCCAGGCTCATTTGGTACTCAGAGTATTGTCCTGATATGCTAGGGTTTCCGGTTTGATCCCAGGTCAAGGTACATGCAAGAATCAGCCAATAAATGCATCAATAAGTAGAACAACAAATCATGTTTCTCTCCCTCTTCTCTAACATGAATCAACCAATAAAGAAAATTTTTCAAATGTTCCCATCTTATCCATCTCTACATGGACAGCTCAGTAGAGTTAAATATACTCACATTGTTATGAGACCAACTGAAGTTCTATCCCCATTAAGATCCTGCTTCCCCCTCTCCCTGGGGCTTTTTTACCAAACATCCCAACAGGCTACATACCTGTGTGTGAGTTGGTGTGGGCTGAGGGCTTGCCAATACCACGAAGGATTCCCCTGTCCGCAGGTATAGACAGAAGCTGAGTCTCCGGGGAGTCTTGAGGGTATGGTTTTGGTGGGATTGATTGACAGAGTCCAGGGGAGGCTGGCAGTGGGGCCTCGAACTGTGGAAAGGGGTCTAGGGGAGGCTCATGGTTGTCAGAGGGTCTCCCCAGATACCCGGGCACCCACCCGATTCGTGGACGATGAGGAGCTGGCGTACGTGATTCAGCGGTACCGGGAGGTGCACGACATGCTACACACCTTGCTGGGGATGCCCACCAACATCCTGGGTGAGTGCCAGCTGCCTTGAGAGTGGGGGTTGGGCAGGGCGGGATGCTCCAGCAAGCCCGACCATCAGGGTCTGTGTTTAGGGCCAGGGCAGGGTTCGCCTGTTTCTGCCACCCACCAGTTAGCTGCCGCAGTGCCTCATTTTTCTGCTTTATCCAAACATCTTGGTAGCATCTGTGCCATCCCCAGTACCTCTCACGGCTCCTGCACAGACAGAGCAGCATCCAAGCAGCAGGCTCCCTCTCCCCACACCCTCCAGAGCTCCCTGAGGCCTGTAGGAACTAGCCTGGCTGTCAGATCCTCTGCGTCTGACCTCAGACTTCCTCTCCAGCCCTCCCTTCCTCTGGCTCTTTCTTGGGCCCTCTCAACCCCTCCAAGCCGAGTGCCTGGGCACACCACAGACCAGACAGTATGGCTGACGCCTTGTAGAGAAGAGGCACCTTAGAGGGAGCAGACACCTCACTGTTCCCTGCCATGAGGGTCCTGGCCTCTTCCTGGCCCCTCCTCACCTCCCACCCCCGTCCCTACCCTGTCCCGCAGGGGAGATCGTGGTGAAGTGGTTTGAGGCTGTGCAGACCGGCTTGCCCATGTGCATCCTGGGCGCGCTCTTTGGACCAATCCGACTCAGTGTCCAGTAAGTTCTCACGGGGTGAGGGGTCAAGGGAGATGTCAGAGGGGCCAAGGCTCCAGGAAGAGGAAGAGCACGCAGCCTTCCTCAGCAGCCTCGGGGGGTCCTCCAGGAAGCCAGGGGGGGAGAACGGGCCTGGCCCTGGGCCTCTGGGCCTCTTGGCCAGGCCTCGGTGCCAGGGCAGGAGGATGCAGTTGCGGCTGGGGGCAGTCTAGCATTAGTTTCTGGAGTGAGGTAACCCGAAATTTAAACCCGGGCTTGGTGCGGTGAGGATGTGTGGCTTCGGACACGGGATTCTCGCTGAGCTTCTGCTTCCTCATTGGAAAACTGGCGATAATCACTACTTCTTGGGTGTGTGTGAGGACCCGCTGAGGAAATGCACATGGGCTGCTGGGCACATTGCCGGCCCTCAGGACCCTCTGTTTTCTCCCTCTGCGGCCCCACAGGCAACTGCAAGTGCTGTACTCGGAGCTGGTCCCATGGGCAGTGGAGAACGGGCGCAGGGCCCCGTGTGTCCTCAACCTGTACTACGAGCGGCGCTGGGAGCAGCCCCTGACGGCCCTTCGGGAGGAGCTGGGCATCACGGACCCCCCCATGCACATCCAGCCCTAGGCCCTCCTCCCCTCACCCGCCCACTTCCCCTGGAGGCCGAAGGCTCCGGGCCACTCCCTTCGCTGCTCTTCTTGAACATTGACCCTTGGGTATTACTTATCAGAATTTGCCCTAACACTCCTGAGTGGCTCTGAGGCCAACCCAGGCGGGGCAGGCAGTGCCGGCGGCTCCCAGGGAGCCTGGAGCTGCCCAAGGAGAGCCACACGTGGGCGGGAACCAGCCATCTGGACTCGCGCTGGTCCACACCGGTCCTAGAGCCTTCCCTGCCAGCCAGCGCTTTCCGGGTGCCAGCCTGGGTGTCCTCCCAGGAGTGCAGATGCGACCCAATCCCGAAGGCCGGAGAAGGGGGAGGGAGTATCCGCTTCATCGGTCAGCGCCTGCCTCCCTGCCTTCGCCCAGGGCTGGCTGATGGCAGCCTTGGGCCTCCCATCTGCGCTTCAGCCGCTTGGCCCACCTCTGGCCTGGAGTTGGCCAGATTGAAGCTCCTCACTCCTCTGGGGATTTCTAGCCCAGGCCCTGGGGCAAACCCTCCCCCATTTCATCAGCGAAAGGGGGACGAACACAGCACCGCCTCTGGTCATTGCGCAGGTTTCAGGGGGTGGTGCTCCAGAGAGCATCCGAGAGAGGACCAGAGGCAGGAGCCATTGTGTCACTGTGTGCACAGGTGGAGGAGCAGCAACCAGGCATTGTCCTGGGTCAGAGCCAAGGATGGGGACAGACAAGTGAAAGAGTGCGTGGCCCTGGCTGGATTTAGAATGGCAGAGCCTTTAGAGTTTTGAGGGACTGGTTCCTCATCGTGTGGCCAGGGCAGCAAAGGCCCAGAATGGGCAAGGACTTGGCTGGAGCAACTGGAACACAGGTTGCAAGGCCTCCTGCTTGGTTTTCCTGCGCCTCCGTTTCCCTGTGGACAATAACAACTACAGTGTAGTTATAACTGCTGTGTGTAAGCTGGTATCACATTGACACCAGCAGTCATGGCGCGAGGTGGTACTATTTGTTGTATTTTCCTAATGAGGCAACAGGAGCAGAGCTGGGGCTGGGACTGGAATTGTCAGACCTGCTCAGCACTGCCAGGCCCGTGTGCCAGTCTTGTGCCCACCACATCCCAGTCTAGGGCTCCAGTGGCAGAGGGAGGACGTGGGAGGCTGGAGGCTGACCTCGGAGCCATCATCTTTCTTTTTTTAAATATATTTTATTGATTTCTTACAGAGAGGAAGAGAGAGGGATAGAGAGTTAGAAACATCAATGAGAGAGAAGCATCGATTAGTTGCCTCTTGCACAACCCCTACTGGGGATGTGCCCACAACCAAGGTACAAGCCCTTGACAGGAATCGAACCTGGGGCCTTTCAGTCCACAGGCTGATGCTCTATCCATTGAGCCAAACCAGTTTCGGCAAGCCATCATCTTTTCAAGAGGAAAGTCTTTTCCTGAGCTCTGAGTTTCTGCAGAAAGAGGAGGAGGTTGGAGGGAGCTCCTCATACCTCATCGGTCTTTGCAAGATAGGCCTTTCCAGACCTGCCAGCTGTTTCCATGGCTTCCCAGGGTCCCAGGCACTGTCCCCAGAGCAGTCAAAGTCAACAGTGCCAAGGTTAAGGGAGAAAGGTCAGACTTGAGGTGGCCTCTACCCAGCCTGGTAGCTCACCTGCTCCAGCATCTTGGTGCCTGCACGACCCTGGGCCTCGGCAGCTCGCAAGAGATGGGCGCTGGGTACTAGGATTAGCAGGGGTCGCAGGCAGAGTCCTGTTTCCAGATCATAGGGTGGCATTTTAGTCACCAGTTGGAGGAAAATTATACTGGCTGTAGCTACCACGTACCAAGTTCTCACCACAGGCCACGAGGCCCTGTCAACTTCTGCCTAGAAACTTACATACATCTTAATAAACCATGTTGACCTTTTTCCTGTCTTTGTTCCCAAGTCATTCCATAGTCAGCTTCTTATTCACGCCTGTGCTCAGATGTCACCTCAAGAGGGGCCTGCCCTGACCACGCCATCTGAAACAGCCCCCTCCCCTTTATCCGCATCACCTTGTTAGAGTGCTTACCACTCAGAAATTATCTTTTTTTTTTTTTCAACTTTTTACTTATTTTTACTTTTATTTTTCAGAGAGAGAGGGAGAGGGAGAGAAACACTGATTTGTCATTCCATTTATTGATGCATTCATTGGTTGCTTCTTGTATGTGTCCTGACCAGAGATCAAACCTGCAGCCTTCATGAATGGGGACGATGCCCTAACCAACTGAGCTACCGGGCCAGAGCACTCTGAATTTATTTTATTTACTTACCAGTTCCATGTCTGCTCCATGAGGGTGGGGACCTATTCTTTCACTGCTGGGAACTGCTTGGCACACACACGTTCTTGAAGGAATGGATGTCAAGCCCCTTGCTGAGCATCCCACATGCAAGACCTTATTCAGCCCCCACCACAGCCTCACTTCATGGCAAAGACCCTGGGTCTCAAGTTCAGGGAGTGTCCTGGGTCCCACAGCCGGGGTGGTGGACCTTGTCTCAGCGCACAGGTTTGAGTCCTCTCCCAGAAGCCAAGGGGGCACTCCCTTTCCCTCTGCCCCACAAAAGCCACCTGCAGCCAAAACCGGTTTGGCTCAGTGGATAGAGCGCCAGCTTGTGAATTGAAAGGTCCCAGGTTTGATTCCGGTCAGGGGCATGTACCTTGGTTGTGGGCACATCCCCAGTAGGGGGTGTGCAAGAGGCAGCTGATTGATGATAGTCTCTCATTGATGTTTCTAACTCTATCCCTCTCTCTTCCTTTCTGTAAAAAATCAATAAGATATATATTTAAAAATAAAAAAAAACCACACCTGCAGCTGGTCCCAGAGCAGCGTTTGGGGGCACAGGCGCTAAAGGCAGATCTGCCCCTCCTTCCCCCCCACTGACCAGCTCTGCCCCCGGAGCCTCTGTTTTCTTCTCTGTAAAGCAGGGAGAGTAATGTGCCTGTCCCACAACAGGCCATGTGCTCGAGTAGCTTAGCACATTGTAAACACTTAGGAAATGGAAGCTGTCATCTGCCAGGAAGGCCCTTGGAGGCCTCTGAGGTCATCATGTACAAATAAACCAGAGCTGTTTGTTTTGCACACACCCAGAGTGGGTGGACTTACACAACTCAGAGGTCACTAACGCCACACTACTGGGTATCTATGGGGTAAGTGCCTACTGGGTGCCAGCGGTCAAATCACTCCACTCTGATGAGGTTTAATTCAAGTGAGTCCAAATGTGAGGCTCTGGCAAATCTGGAGATTCAAGTGCTGATGTTCCCTCCTGCAGGGCCCATGGGGGTCATGTCCGTGGAAAGGAGCCCACTGTGAGGTCAGCTTAGGCTGAGCCTGTCCCACAAATGACAGCATCCAGCTCCTGCCCTTCCTAAGAACCTGCAATGCCTCTTCACCACACCAGGACAAAACCTGGCATACCAAGACCTTTCCAATCCCTCCCCACCACGTGGCCTTCCCTGCCCATGGACCCTGATGCACAAGCCCACTAGTGTCTGCTAAGTGTTTGCTGATCGCTGGGGGTGCTCAGTGCTCAAGACGGCTGCGTCCCCACCCTCTTGGATGAGAAACTTTGTGGCAGCTGAGGCTTCATGTGCTGTCATGCTCTGGGCTGACAGCTTGCCATGCACAATCACTACCCAGCCCCACGAAGCGGTGGCCATGATGTCTGGATTCCCATTCTGCAGATGAGGACACTGAGGCTCCATGGGGAGAGGTGATTTGCCCAGTTTTTTCTCACAGTTGGGGGTGGAAGTGCAACCCCAATGCACCTGACTACAAAGCAAAGAAGATATCACAATAACGTGTGGTGGGTATTACCCAAGGGCGGTGAGCAGCCTCGTCTAGCGATCTAATCTCCACATGCCCTCTCTGTGTGTCCAACTAGACCACATGTGTCAAACACAAGGCCCGCGGGCCAAATCCGTCCCGCCAGGCCTTGCAATGTGGCCCGCACCGCGCTGTCATCACTGCACTCCGCTGCGTTTCCATCACAATGACAGTTTATGACTGTTCAGTAAACCTTTCGGCCTTCGATTTAGGCTGGATTTTAGATTTTGGCCCCTTCTCTGATTGAGTTCGACACCCCTAAACTAGACTATAAGCAACTTGAAGGCAGATTGTCTTGTTGCCTCTGTCCCTTTGCATCTATCCCTCAGGCCTGGCCCCGTGGCTGTGGGCTTACCGCTTTGGCTTCACCAATGTGACCTGCCTGGGTGGAGGAGAACGGGGGTGCTGGTCACCACCATCCTCCTTCAAATTCTCACTTGCCTTATTTGCATATGACCTCTGCACTTGATGTGGAAATAATCATAATTATTTCCCTGGATCCTGGTGTGGATAAGATCAGTGCTTCCAAATCACTCTCCCTATCAAACCTTTATCAAGCTTCTGTTATTTCCTAAACCCTGTGGATACAACCAGAGATAATCTTCTTGCCTAGATTTTGTGGAGCTTTGTGGTCAATGAGCCTGTAAACCACAATAGCAAGTATGTCGCCCTGGCCAGTTTGGCTCAGTGGATGGAGCATCGGCTTGTGGACTGAAAGGTCCCAGGTGCGGGAGGCAGCTGATCGATGTTTCTCTCCCATTGATGTTTCTAACTCTCTATCCCTCTCCCTTCCTCTCTGTGAAAAATCAATAAAATATATTTTAAAAAATAGCAAGTATGTCAAGTGCTAATTCAAAAACTCCCCATGACTCTCCACTCAACCCCTGTGAGATAATCACCATCAGTATGTTCTCATTTTTACATAGAAGAAATGGAGACTTTGACTTTCAATTGAGTTGACCCAAGTCTGTGGGATGTCCACACCCATAAGCACCCAGTGCAGCACTGCCTCCTGATTGTAACACCCATGAGAAGGAGGTGCTTCAATTTACCTAGCTCCGCCAAAAGGATGCACCCTCTACTCTGGAAGAAATAGGTCCAAATGCTTATCATGCCATATTTTCATTTTTAATCCCTATGAGTAGACCCTGAAAACTGCCCCTACCCCCTTTCTAAGGACTTCTACTAGATTAAGAGATTAAGGGACCTAGCTATTCAAAGACAGATGATAACTGTGGATGACCAACATTAAGGAACCAAGTTTTCAGAGGCCCAGAGCTAGCTGCACAGGGCTGGGAAGCTGGCCAGTGGCCCAGGGCTTAGCAGGTGGCATGACAAATATGGTCACTGACTTGGAGGTTAATTTCCTGCAGGGTTCAGTGATTAGAAGCCAAAGTTAGATCCGTGCCCTTTGTACCATCAGGTGTGCCAGATTGCTTACAAGATACTATCATGGAAGAGAAAGGATTCCTACTCAGCAATCCGGGCACCAAGTTTATTGTCCCAGAAGAGGAGGTGAGAGGCGCTCAAATCTGCAGGTCTTCTGAACCTCGAAAGGTACTGTGTCCATAAACAAAACAAAACAAAACAAAACAAAACAAAAAAACCTAGCGAGAGATCAAAGGACTTGTGTTCATGCACATAAGCATAACCAATGGACACAGACTATAGGGGGGGTGAGGGCACGAGGGGCTTAGGGGAGAGGGGGGTAATGGGAGGATAAAGACACATATGCAATACCTTAATCATTAAAGAAAAAATAATAGAACATTAAAAAAATGGAATTGAGGGAGGACCTCGAATCCAAAACTTTCGAATAACCATTCCAAATTCAAATAGAAGTCCAATGCGCTAGCCTTTTTGCCACAGAACTATTACTAGACTTAACCCTTCTCTGTCTGAAACCACACTTCCAGCTCTTATAGGTGTGGTGCTGGGCCTTTGCCGAAATCTGCCGGGTCTAAATGCGGACTCCAATTCTCCGCCAATGTGGCAGGTGGGGGGTGCTCTCCCGCAGATCCGAATGCCGGAGGATTGGGAGTTCGGGGCCCAGGCGGAGCCGGCCTGTCTCTTACCCGTACTGGGTGCGGAGGGGAGGGCGGTGGGAAAGGCGGGTCGCGGCGAGAAGAAAGCACGGGTCTCTGCGGCACGGACTACAATTCCCAGGATGCCACGGGGGGCGTCGCCTCCGGCCGTCGCGCGCGCAGAGCGGGCTGGGCCAGGTGGCGTCGAGCGCGCTGGGACCGCCCTGCGCCTCTCGCTCTGCGGCTCGCCTCGCTGCCGGCCGGCGCAGCCGGTTTGGGCTGCTGGAGGCAGGCGGGGGGAGGAGCGCCGCGGGCGGGCGGCGCTGAGCGGCAGGAGGGACTGTCCGGGCCATGCAGGGCGCAGAGCTGGCGAAGGGCTCCTGAGACCCGGCTCTGCGCGCCCAGGGGCGGCTGCCGCCCCCCGCGCCCTCCACGCCGCTGCCGCTGCCGGGCCGGATCTGGACGGGGCGCCGCGCGGCGGGGCCGACGCTGGGTGAGCATAGACCAGGCGAGTGGGTCCCTGGGCGGGGGAAGGTGCCCGGCCCGGCGGAGGCAGGTGCGACGGCGCCGGCCTCGGGTGAGAGGCGCGCCCTGCTGCTGTCTGTCTCCTTGCCGGCCGCTCTGCCGCTACCCTGGCTCTTTAGGGGCCGGGGCTGTATGCAGTGACCGGACCTGAGACAGGGTCCCCAGGGAACTAGGCATCCTCTTCTCTCCACATCCCATCTCCCAGCCTTCCGGGGCGGGCTCCTACCCTTGGCTCTGGCGGCTCTGGAAGGCCAGAGGTCTGAGGACCTTGCAGGTAGGTCCTGGCTTTGGAGTTGGGGTCGCTAGTTCAGTACCACCGGCTTCTCCTTTCCGCGTGAAGGAGAGGGAGGTGGTCTGTCAGGGCTCTCTGTGGTCCAGACCGCGTCCTCCTCCTGGCGTGGAGGCCCTCCGGCTATCTTACAGCCGTGACCTTCACCCCCTCCCCAGGAATGGGACCTGGAGAAAAGCTCAGCCCTACCTGCCGCCCTCTTGAGCAAATCCGTGAAGAGCCAGGAATAGAACCCAGGCGCTGTAATCTCAGCCCGGCCAGTCTTTCCCCTCCCCCTGAGCTCAATCCCCAAATCTTCACCCGAGTGGCTCGCTGAGTGTGTTTGCGGCGGAGCTTTCAAGGCCCTCGCCCTCTCAATCATCTTTTGCTTTCGGGCGATCAGCAATCCGCACCTCCGGACTCTACCCCGTTTGCTCTGTCGCCCCCTATGGGCCAGCAGAGCCATGGCGCTGCCGGAGCCTCTGGGCAGGGTCGGGGCTAAGGCCCCTTCCCTGGAAGCTGCCCCTCGGGGTGTTGTGGCTTGGCCCGGTCCTCCACACAACCTGCCCAGGTCTTTGGGTATGGGGGCGGAGCCAGAGGTACTTACCTTAGTACTCCTCCCCAAGCCATTTGGTTAGGGACCCTAGATGTCAGGGGAGTGGACTGTCCTATTTTGGCTGGAAAGGTTTCTGAGAGCAAATCTCACTACACCCATTGCGCAGAGGAGGAAACTAAGTCCTAAAGCAGGAAAGGGACTTGCCCAAGGTCACTCGGAGAATCACGGGCAGCGATGGGACAAGGGCTTTAGACCCTAGCCTCCTGCCTGTCACCTCTGGAACTCCTCACCTCTCCTCCAGTGCCTCTACCTGCCCCTTCCAGACAGCCCTGGAAAGGGAGCCCGTCAAGGGCCAAGACACACTACAGGTTGACCCCATGGGGTCATAGTGGCCTGGCTGACTGGGCCAGGGAGTGGAGGACTTGGCCGTTTGAATCCACTGACGACCCTGTGCTCACAGGCCACCATGCTGCTCGGGGCGTCTCTCGTGGGAGCCTTGCTCTTCTCCAAGCTGGTGCTGAAACTGCCCTGGACTCAGGTGGTGTTTTCCCTGCTGTTCCTCTATCTGGGGTCTGGCGGCTGGCGCTTTGTCCGGATCTTCATCAAGACCATCAGGCGCGATGTTTTGTGAGTACCTGGGTTAGCCCTTCCTGGAGCCTCCCACACCTCTGCGGGCTCCTCGTCCACACAGTTTCCCCAGGACAGACCGGGGCCTCGCCAGCGCAGGGCAGCTGGGCCCCAGAGCAGCACCTCTTCTCCACGCTCTTTCCCCGGCACAGGTACCTCCCCCTCCAAGGTCACAGTCTCCTCCTGGGGAATCTCCCTGACTTGGTGTCCTTAGCCTGGGGCCAACTTGGGGGCCTGGGACATAGCGTGGAAGACTCAGGGAGAGGTGTTGAGACATCTGAAAGGGGACTGTAGTGGCTAATACTACATCCCTGTGGGAAAGTCCTGTCCCTGGATTGGCAGGAGTCTGAGAGGGCTCCGAGTCAGATATGTGGGAAAACCGCCCCAGAGAATGCCAGGTGTGCTCCACAGGGATGTCCTGGACCAGAATCACCTGCTGTTACCTTCTCTGTGCCAGGTGCGAGGCTCTCAGAGCAAGGCAGACCCGGTCCCGGGCCAAGCTTGCACTGGTCTGGAGATACTTAGGGCATACAGTAAATCCCTAAGCTGGCAGTGCCATGTGGGCAGAGACCCTGGCTGTCTTACTCACAGTAATGTCCCAGTGCCCAACACACTGACTCACACCCAGAACAGGCAGCCCAGCGTTTGTCAGTCTGATTTGATTTCAGAAGGAAGTAGAGAGTGGCCACTGCACAAAGGGTGGTAGCAGCAGAGAGCTGTGGGAGCGGGCAGGGAGAGATGGCTTAGGCCAGGGCCTCGGGGAATCAGAGGCGGCCTTCTGGGGGCAAAGTAGTTATTTAAAAAAAACACAAAACATTTTTATTGATTTCAGAGAGGAAGGGAGAGGGAGCTAGAGATAGAAACATTAATGATGAAAGAGAATCATTGATTTGACTGCTTCCAGTGTGCCCCCACTGGGGATCCAGTCATGTACCCTTGACCGGAATCAAACCCAGGACCCTTCAGTCCTCAGGCTAATGCTCTATCCACTGAGCCAAACAGGCTAGGGCCAAAGTAGTTGTTCTTGAGAGATACCTCAAGGTGGTGGCATCAAGGGATTCCAGCCAGAGGGTACAGCATCACCAAACGCATAGAGGCTGGGAAGCTGAGACAGTTCAGGGGTCAGAGGTGGCAGGGGCAGGGCAGGAGAGGGGGGTGTGGCCAGCGATTCCACAAACACCTGCTGAACATCTCTGCCTGGCACTGAGCAGGGCCCAGAGGACAAGGTGGTGACTAGGATGGAGCCCTCTCCTTGCTGGGCTCACAGAGAGGAAGACTGGACAAATCGCAAACTCATCCTTTATTGGAGTGTGGGGGAGGTATGATACGGCATTGTGGGAGGCCCCGACAGAGATCTTGACTTGGGCCCGGAGTCCCAGAATGCTCTGACGGAGCAGCAGACTCAGAGGAGACGGGGCTGGTAGTAGGGGTTGCACTCTGGAGCCAGAGAGGGATGGGCTTCAGATCTCTACCTGCGAAGCCAGGGCAAGCCATGTGTTGGCAGAGCCTTAGTTTCCGCCTCTGTGCAGGGGAGGGAGTAATTGCCCTGGTCCCTGTATGACGTTAGCAAGCTGGCGTGTGTCACGGGCCCAGCATACAGGGGCTGGACAAGGGGAGTGCTGTAAGTGATGGGGCTTAGGAGCCGTAGGCCCACGGGGCAGCACCCTGGGCCAGGGTGCAGGGACCCCCACTGCCAGCCCAGCAGTCACCGCTCCCTGGCTGGCTCCCGCACAGCGGCGGCATGGTGCTCCTGAAGGTGAAGGCCAAGGTCCGGCGGTACCTGCGGGAGCGGCGGACGGTGCCCATCTTGTTCGCCTCCACGGTACAGCGCCACCCCAACAAGACCGCCCTGATCTTCGAGGGCACCGACACACACTGGACCTTCCGCCAGCTGGATGACTACTCAAGCGGTGTGGCCAACTTCCTGCAGGCCCGGGGCCTGGCCTCCGGCGACGTGGCTGCCCTCTTCATGGAGAACCGCAATGAGTTCGTGGGCCTGTGGCTGGGCATGGCCAAGCTGGGTGTGGAGGCGGCCCTGATCAACACCAACCTCCGGCGGGATGCCCTGCGCCACTGCCTGACCACCTCCCGGGCCCGCGCACTCATCTTCGGCAGTGAGATGGCCCCAGGTGAGCCCCAAAGGGGCAGGGACAGGCAGGAAGTCCCGTGGAACCTTGCACAGACCTCTTCCAGCCCCGGGAAAGCTGTGTAGCTCAGAGGTTAAGAGCATGAGCCCTGGAGTCAGATGGCCTGGGCTCTGCCGCTAGTAAGCTGGTGATCCTGAGTAAGAGACCAGAATTCCCTGTGCCTCCCGTTTCTTCACTATAGTACCTACTCATACTGTTTTCAAGGTAATGCTTCACCTGCAGCACTAGCAAAGTGGTGCTAGGTAAGCTCTCAGATTTCTTCTCTTTTTTTCTTTTTAAAATACATTTTATTGATTTTTCACAGAGAGTAAGGGAGAGGGATAGAGAGTTAGAAACATTGATGAGAGAGAATCATCTATCAGCCACCTCTTGCACACTCCCCACCGGGGATGTGCCCGCAACCAAGGTACATGCCCTTGACCGGAATCGAACCTGGGACCCTTCAGTCCGCAGGCCAATGCTCTATCCACTGAGCCAAACCGGTTTCAGCTCTCAGATTTCATTGGTAACCATTCTTATGACTAATTAGGCCTCATTTCTTCATCTATAAAATGGGCACAAGAGTCCGTTCTCTGCTGTCCTGCAGAGCTTATGGTTTTTGGCCGCCACACCGGGCACTAACTGGGTGCTGAGCATGTACTTGACAAGCGCAGCTCTAACCTTCACAGAGCCTGCTGCGGACGGGCCTGTCGTCGGCTTTGTAGATGAGGAGACTGAGGTTCGTAGTGGTGAGGAACTCAGGCACCTGGTAAGTGGCGGGACCCAGATTTGATCTGGGCATGGCCACAGTGTTCCTGTTCCTTCTCCCCACGTCGCTGTGGTTTGTGGAGTAATGGACAGGGAAGGTTATTGAGAAGTTGAAAGGGGAAGAGGGCGAGTGGAGGTGTTTGGATAAAAAAGAGGAAGCCAGAGGAAATGGGGCCAAGTGGGCCAGGACTGGCCCATGCCTAGGGCGGGTGGCCATCTGTAATGCTTGGGGGAGCCTGAGAGAAGGTTCCCACTGTCTGAAGAGGCTGGAGGGCTGCTAGCCTCTGAGTCCCCCTCCTCCCTTCTACCCAGACCCCCACAGACAAGCCTAGTACAGTGGGTAAGAGAGTAAACCTTCATGTGAGATAGAGCTGGCTTCGATTCCCAGGTTCAGCATGTTCTGGCTGTGAACAAGTCCCTCTCATTCTCAGAGCCTCAATTTCCTCATCTGTAAAATGGGCTGATATTGGTACCTGCCTCCTAGGGTGTGTGAGCAGGAGAATGCAGATAAAGAGCCCACTGTATAGTTAGCCAGAAGCTAATAGGAGCTGTTGCTCCTATCAGCATCTTTCTTATTATGAGGTCCTGGGTGCTTCTCTCTCCGCCTACCCAGCCAGCCTCCCCTGACAGCATGCCCATGAGCAGAGTTCCTGGGATGTGCCTGCTGACCTGCCCTGTCTCCCCTGCAGCTGTCTTTGAGATCCATGCCAGCTTGGACCCTTCAGTCAGCCTCTTCTGCTCCGGTCCGTGGGAGCCCAGCCTAGTGCCTGCCAGCACAGAGCACCTGGACCCCTTGCTGGAAGATGCCCCCAAGCACCTGCCCAGTTGCCCTGACAAGGGCTTCACAGGTGAGTCTCGCACCCTCTCAGAGGAACCCTGAGGTGCCAAGGACAGGTCACTGGCCTTATGGCCAGAGGCCTGTGTTCCGCATACTTGCTGTGTGACCTGGAGGGAGTCCTGTCACCTCCCTTTCCCATCTGGGAAAATGGGTACAGTAACTGGGGTTACTGCAGGTTAAATGAGCTGGTCTTTAGGGAAGTGCTGGGCATGGTGTCGAGTACACAGGAGCTCACACAATCTGATTTGTTGAACAAGCCTTCATGGATGCCTAACGTGCTCAGGGTCATGCGGAGCCCGGGAAAACCTGCTGTTTCTAAGTTTTGTTTGGAATTGGGCCAGGGGCCCTTTAAATATTCATCCAGCACCTGTTCGGTGCAGGCCCTTATTGGGCTGTGATCCTCCCTGTACTGGGCTGCCTGTCTCCACCTCCCCTCCTCCAGGCAGCCCCCCAGGCCCTTTTGCCTCTCTTCTTCCATACTGCCTTGTGGAGCCCATAGCCTGCTGTATCTCCCGGTGGCTCAGAGCGTGGACTAGTTCATATTCTGGCTCTGTCGCTTCTTCCCTTGTGTGACCCTGAACACCTGAGCTGCCCCTCCGAGCCCTGGGTTCCTACAGCCATAGGCGGTGGTAGCAGCCTGTTTTGTGTAGTGACTAAGGATTGAAATAGATGCACTGGGAACTAGGGTGTGGCAGGAAGGGCTCCGTAACAGGTCATTGTCCTCATTCTAGTCATTTACTCTGTCATATACAGATCTTATCTCCTGGTGCGGGGACTCGGGCTGGTTCAGCCTGTTGCCCTCATGGTGTGCAGCCTAGGCTGGCATAGGGCAGGCACACAAGTGCAGGAGATGGTCAACAAGGAACATGCAGTCACCCCATGGTGTTCGGACCTCCCGGAGCCTCCAGCCTGGGGGTGCTGAGCCT